AATCATTAATTCATTTTCCAGCAAATATACAATGAAAAAATTCTTCTTTGTAGCTTGCAAACCTGCAGAAGATAGAGAGTTTTGGACTACACTTTTATAGGCTAATTAAAACAAATTATAAAATGAATGTTTTCAAGTTCATAAATAGTTTATTGTATTGTGAGAAACCAAGTAAAAAAAAACAGTTACAGTATAAAAATTCGAACTTGATTTTCTTGATCTAAGAAATATATTATTTGTCTTATAATAATTTTCTCTTGAAAATACATTGAAACATCTGTATATATCTTCTGAAACAAAAATATTTGGTTAACATGAGAATTTTTACCAACTCAAACTTAATTTTATGCAAATAATAATCTTATCATTTAATCATGAGTATTTTGTAGGGTATAAAGCATTTCAATTAACTAACATTGTTACTCTATCATAAAAATACAATATACTTGAGTAGTTACACAATGAATTTAAGAAAAGCAAAAAATATGATTATCAAATACTAAAAATAATTTCTACAGGTGAGATAGTGATAGCTCAAAATTTTGAGGAAAAATGATGAAATATTCTTTAAATTTCTTTTTCTTTATTTTCTGTTTTAAAAAGTATTACTCCAAAACTATAGCAAGTATATCAATATATCTATACTACTTCATTTAAACAACTTCAGAATGTTAAAGATGATGAGAATAGAAAAGCAGAAAGATACTACATAGAAGATAGTTTCCCATTCATCTACTCATTTCCTGAAATGAGTAGATGAATTCTAAGAAAAAACAGAAGCACAATCTCTATAGGATACCAGCCAAATTCTCAAATTTGAAAGAAAACCCGATCAGAAAGATAATAAGCACCAGAACTGTGAATCTTGAAAGATTTACAACAAAAGTAAGGAGGCCTGGCAGCAGATACTGACTAAAAGGAATTTTACTATATTTTTCTCATGAAATCAAATGGGATAAAAGAAGAAATAAATAAATGGATAGAAAAAGGAAGCTGTGAAATGTCAACTTCAAATACCTATCAATATTTTGAGTGTTTGAATAGAGATATAATGTGATGATGTTAAAACAGAAGTAACTGTTATGGCCTTGAAAGGTGGTATACATAAATAAAGCTACAGATGGTATGTTCTCTTTCTTGAATAAGAGTAAAATTAATATCAATGATAAAGATGATACTTAAAGTTTGTAATTTTTTTCTAATCATGATTTTTAAAAATTTTAGCAGGATAGATTAATTCATTTTTTTGAAGATTGTAAGTTGCAACTATATTGTAAGGAAAATTTTGATACCAAATCCACATTGGTCATCATTAAAAAATTTCAAGTTCAGGTGTGAACAGTTTAGATACATGAATGTGCAAAGCTAAACTGTTCACCAGATCAGGTTTTCTCACCCAATTTTTTACCACATCAGGTTTTTTCACCCAATTTTTTAATTTATTTTGGAGCTTTTTTTGCATTATAAATTAAGAGTATATAATAAGAGAATCAGGAAAATGTTTTCTTCTATTCAGTGTTTTAATGTAAACATCTCAACATATACAGCTAGTAAAAATCTATAAATAAGCAGAGTAAATATCCCCTAATTCATGGGAGTTCATCTCCAAAATGAGAGAATACTATTTTACAAACACAATGCAATGGAGTAAACGGAATAATAGAGAAGTAATGTTTAACATAAATATTGATATATTCATTTCAAGAAAAGTTAGGTCCCTTGAGAGTCTTACAGGAAGATGTCCTTGTAGCAAGTACAAAATATATTACAATAGGAGGATATTTTCATTTTGAATTGCAGAAAGTTTGACATGTAAAATAAATGAAATTGTAGTGAGTCCTTATAAAAATAAAATATATAAACAAAAATAAAAAGAATTCAAATTAAAATAAGGCTTTTGCACTTTCTTTTAAAACCTTTATCTCTTTCTTTCTTTCTCTCTCTCTCTAAGCTTATCTTTCTATAGTTCTCTCAACTAATGAGAAGGCAACCATCAAATAAAAAAACTGAACCTGGCTGAAAAATGCCAGAAGTTTAAAGGATCAGAGCCTACTTTTTTGTGACTGAAAAATACCAAAAATTAGAGAGGCTCCACGTATAAATTCCATTATAAAAAAAATGAAAAAGAAAGGGACACTGGAAAATAAAAATAATTTTAGTCAATCAAAAACAATTGACACAAAGAGACTTTAGCTGAAACCAATGTTTGCACCAGAGTCTCAGAGCTTGGTAAAAAGGATATAAGCTGATACATCTGAGCTGAAAGTAGAAAGGACGATGAGAAGATGGGACAAAAAGAATGCTACCGTGGAGAAACAAGCCATTCATTGTGCTTGAAGTAGTACTTAAGAGGTCATCGGATAATGATAATTCTGACCTGTTTAGGGCCAAGAAAAACACAGTATATTGACGCTGATGTATTACTAATATTACTACTACCCATTTCATGGTTTGACTCCAAAACTAAACTACTGGACTTTCTCAAAACTACTACCAATATCCACCTTATAAATGAACATTTTGCTACACTGAACATCAAAGTACTTACTCATCACTCTAAAGAAAATAAATAAAAATATATTATTTATTTTATACCCTTAAGTCAGTTCATTTTATTCCAACATAACCAGTAAAGAAAATCTTACCAACACTATATCCACAAAATAATCATATCAGGATAAAAAGTATATATCAGCTGAATTATGAGCTAGCAGATGCCATTTTTGGATGATCACTATTTCACAAAGAATAACTTGTCTAATGGACTAATTATTAAAATGGCCAACTTGTTCAATGATATGAAATTAACATAGCAATGCTAGTATAAGATTTTAGTGTGATTTTCCTCCAGCGACTGTGACATTACTAATATCAACTTCTTAAATAGGTGCCCAACTAGCCACAGAAACAATAACCAAATCATAAATACAATGCACTGATGATGTTTTGTTTTAAAAGAAGCCACCAACTGTAGTAAAATAATAATTTCTCTAGCAGAGTAGCAGAAATAATCACATTTTTATAATAAACCTTTCTAACAAGCACTTTTGATACTTAACTGGAGGATTAAACAGTTTGCCTTTGATAATTCACAGCATTTGATGTCAGAATTTAAACTATATCTTTTCAAGACAGTTTTTCCACTTCAAAAGACCAGTGTTAAAAGATTAACTACAAATAGCCAGTATATTAATGTGTTTACAATATCTAAAAACATTTCTATATCTCATAGTGCTTAAATACACTCATCAATCACTTTATTAGCTATACTTTTCTAGTATCGTGTTGGTCCCACTTATGTGTTTAAAACCACCTTAATTCTTCTTGGCATGTATTTGATAATGTTCTAGAAGCACTTGTTTGAAATTTGGGTTCATGCTGTTATTATGGTATCTTACTATTCTTCTAGATTAGTTGGTAGCACATCCAGGATTCAAATCTCCTTTTTCACCACATTCTAAAGGTGCTCTAAGAGATTGATATCCAGTGATAGTGGAAGCCACTTGAACACAGAAAACTTATTGCTCTGTTCTATGAATATACTCTTCTTTATACTTCCATCAGCTATTTGAGCTATTGTTGCCTTTCTATCAACTTCAACCAGTTTAGCCATTCTTCTTTGACCTCTTTCATCAACAAGGAATTTCTGTCCACAGAATTACCACCCACTGGGTTTTTTCTTTTTCTGATCATTCACTGTATAACCTTGATATGGTTGTGCTAGAAAATCCTTGCACATCAGTTTTTTAAATACTTAAACTCACTTGTCTGACATCAATGACATGTTGTTTTCAAAGTCATTTAAATCACCTTTCTTTTCCCATACTAGTGCATGAAATGAAATTCAGCAGGTTGTCATGACCATGTTTAAATGCCTATATCCATTAAGTTGCTGGTACAATATTGGCTGATGAGAAATTTGCATAAGAGCATTTTTTTCACCTAATGAAGTAGCTAGTGAGTGCATATAGATAAGGATATAAAAATGTCTATACTGAAACATTTAACAAAACATATGGAAATAAATTTAAAACTAGACTTTCTGCAAAAAACTACAGTTTTTCTTAAGATATTGTGGGATGAATTAAAAAAATGTAATAAATTATACAAATCGTTGTGCAAATTTAAAATTCTTTTAACTATCATTTTTAACCATTTTTAAGTAATTGGAGAAAAAATATATACACATCAAAATAAGTATTTCAAGAAAAGTAAATGATTCTGTTGCAAATAAGAATCTGTATTGACTTTTTGCTAATTTCATAAATATATCATTCATGAAACATGCTATTTGTATCCAATGGAAGTGGGAGCCGTGTACAAAGTCTGGTAAAGAGATAAAATGTTATTACCACATGGAAAACATGTAATTTTATTAATAGCTGCTTCAAAGTTAATTTATTCACTAGTTACTTCACTGGATGAAGTTATATCTGATGACCACATGAGTGGACAATTTTCCTTTGAAGACTGACCACACAAGTAAATATCAAACAATTTATTTTTTATTGTCAGCACTGTTATCAGTATAACCTACTGAACAAATAAAAGAGTGATTTGAACCAGAACAATACTTTAGAAAATACATATTTGTACATTTCTTGATAAGTTTTTCATCTAAATAGTGAAAAGATTTTAGTTTAATAGATTAATTCTGGATAGTTAAAAACACATATAATTCAATTAATATGCTTTATATTTTTCAACCTTAAACCAAATGTGATTTTTGCAAGAAATTAAACTATTTCTTACAAAAATATAACAGCAAAAACACAAAAAAATATTATTCAAATTATGTAGCTTTCAAGCAATCTAATATTGCAAGGATTGAAACTTTCACACTACTGTTATTTTAGAATATAAATATTCAATTAAAAAATTCCTAATTTCCTAATATGCATATAACTTAGTACCTTTTAGGTAAGATTTGAGATACATTAATTCTCTGTTAATTAAATTTAATCAGAAGATCTAATCTAGACATTATGTTAAAAACTCACCTTGCGTTCTTTCATTTCTTTTCGAACTTTGTATCCTTTAAATCCAGCTTGAATCTTTGTAGCAGCATCAGAAATATTTTCCTCATTTGTGATCACATTGGTTGAAGTTTCCTCTTGAACATTATCAGTCACTTTCTCTTCTGCAGGAGCTCTGAGTAAAATAAAAAGTATTATATATCATATTTTTTAAAGTGAAAATTCTTTCATCAATACTCTCTGAAATTTTACGTATAAATTCAACAAAAATGTTTACTTGTACATTATGTAGACACATACATAAGTAAAAGAAAATAGGTTAAATTCACACACACACACACATGCATCTGATGGAACAAATATATATTATTTATAGGATTAAATGATATCCCAAACAACTCTGCCAATAGGAAGTAGATAAGGGAGAATAGAAAACAATTTAAAAACAATGTTAAGAGTATTTGTTATAACTAGTTGCTCAGTTAATAGTGGATTAATTCATGTTATATCCTCATTACCAACTGTTGTATTTAGTTTTGTTGCTTTGATGTAGAGACATGAAAAAAATAAAGACTAAATTTTCAAACAAGAGCCTTTATTCAACCTAAAAGATTTCAAGAATATTTTATGAAACCAGTTAAAATTTGAGGAACTTACTATGAGCAAATTTTTAAGGTTTTACTCTTTTAGACATTAAATTTATCAGATCTTCTGTCTTCCCAAGTTTTTTTCAAGACACGAAACAATTTTTTGTAAATTTTCTAGATATTTTCATTTTGATTTTAATCATTTAAACCCAAGTAAAGCAATAAAGCCAGTAAGATGCAAGAGGTTACTGAGTGTGACAGAATACAAGAAAAAACATTATTAAGAAGAGAGAGCAATAAAAGAACAGGAATTAAGAAGACAGAAGATAATAATTGACATTGCATTTAAAATTTTAAAGATCAAACTTGACTGGGAAGCAAGAGGTTGAAAGACAGTTCTACAGGTGAGAAGTGCAATAGAAGGAACTTCTAACATAGAACTTATAGTTACATCTAGCTATTTCCACTATAAAAGGATGAAACCTTGTCACTAATCTAATATTGGCTTAAATTCATAAAGTCTAGGTACCATAGAGGAAAGTTCATCAGAAAAAATTACCATGAAAGTATTTATAGAAAAGGCACAAGGAACCTTTGTTATGGTGGTGGAAAAGTGACTGAAGCCAAGATGCCAGGTCAGGATGAATGATATTGCAGATTTTTCTTTAGATATTATCAAGAATCTTTCTCTATATATAACAGGAGCAATGCATGGATGAGTGGAAGATTTATAAATATATAAGATAGATTCTAGCAAGAAAAATTGTCTTGCATGACACAGTGAACCAATTTTCCTAGCAGCAGACCTAGCAATTGATTCAATATAATCTTTCCACTTCATGTTAGTGAAAAATGTTAGTCGAAGAAGTGTAGCAAAGTGTCACTCTCCTGGAGATTAGTATCAAAAGAATGATGAAATTCTTATTCTGGTTGATAGAAGGATCAGATAGTCCACTTGACTTCTTAAAGACTGGAATTGCAGATGATTTCCAACAAGTAGAATAGCAAGAAACTGCAAGGCATTTATTGCAGAGTTTAGAGAGAACAGTAGTCAGTTCAGGACACTTATTGCAGGGATAACACATGCTTAAGGAATATTGAAGAGATACCACATGCTTTGGGGATTCAGTTTAGAGGTGATAGCAGAAACCATGGATGGAATTATATGCATCACCATTCACTAGAGACTCAGTTCTAAGTGGAAAATCAGACTTCTGATGAGTCAAGAGTAGAATTTTTAGAAGCAAAATATTATTCTTTATCAGCAGATGTAAACACACAAAGAGAAGAGAGGGGTATCAAAGACTTACTCTTATTTAAGACTATTACAGAGCTACTAGTAGTCATGAGAATCAAATTTGTTACAGGGTATAGGTGCCTCATTCTGTCAGCAAACAAAAACTCTTTGAGGAAACATTTACAATAATTGCAAGCAGACACAAAAAAGGGTCTACTGTGATTGGAACTATCACCTGATACACCTGGAAAAAGTGATTTCTCTGAAATGAACAGACCAGTGTGAACTAAGGAGAATATTGTAGTTTCACTTCATGTTGCCAAAAAAGTACAAAAGCATTGAAAGTGACTTTCACCCAAGAAGAAACCTCAGTAGCACAATTCTCAACAGGAATGTTAAGAATATCAATCCAAGGGACGTCTCAAAGAAAGTCATGAAATTAATCCCAATTAGTACACTAGTAATAGAAAGAAGTTTTCTGAATAGGAGGTTCCTTTCAAAAGAAATATCAAGAGGTATTACAGCATGAAGTGAACAGCAAAGAGGACAGAGTTGTGATGCTTGACTAGAGCTAGCAGAAGATGTAAAGAAAAAATCAAGTAAAGAAGAATGCTGATCAGATTTATTAGGGAAATCCACTATTTGACTGAAAGACTGAGTAACGGAAAAATTGGAAGTCAGAATACTGGCAACATTAATAACATTAGAATGCTTAAGTCACTTGACATGATGAACATTATAATCATCAAACACAAAAATGTAGAGAGAGAGAATGCCATTTCAATATTATCAGAAAATATTTATTTTCATTCATTATTTCATGAATGAAAATAATCAGGTAATATTTAACAGCATTTATGTCAGCAAACTGAATTGGTCAAAAGAGTTTAATACATTTTTGGACTCACCATTTAATATTGGGTTGGAACAAAAATCTGTAGTTTTTTAAGAGAATTTAAAAGACAATATTTAGAAATTTATACACAGATTTACTCAATAACATATGAGCCATTTTCTTCCACAACATTTCACCAATAATATATATGCACACACACACATATACATACATACATACACACACACACACACACACATATATATATATATATATATATATATATATATATATATATATATATATGCATGGTACTTATTGGAAAGTGCTCAATATCAGTGATAGAGCTAACATATTCAGTTGTATAGATATAAGTTTATGACCCTGGATTTCAGACTTTTGCAATCATCAGACAAACTGGTTTATTTTTTGAAAATTGAATCTATTTATGCTTGTTTGTGTTTGATTATGTTTGGTGGAGGGGGGAAATTTTCCTCTGTTTCTATTTTGGGATGACACTCTTACACACACAGACATACATGTATATAGATGTATGTATTATAGTTCACACAAATACACCCGTATAAACAATTTGAGATTAGGTACATGCGTTCAAGTATACATATATATGCAATTGTAATCTTATTTCAGTGTCGGTACTGTATGTAGCGAAGTTCTTTCAACAAGGGGCAGGTTGGGGTGTTCTTGGCTCTATTCAGATTGGCCATCTGTGTCATCAAATAAATTAACACTTCTTCATGCACACATACACACATTAGATACACACATTACATACATTCCTATTTGCCTTACATCACCACATTGGTGACTGCTTGTGTGTTATTGATGATTGTGATTATGTTGATAGTGCTAATAGCTGATATTATAAGTATTAATAATAGTTATTGATGTGTTAATGGCAAAATAGTAAAAATAAAAATAATAAAGACAATAATGAAAACAATGGCAATGGAAAAAGTAGTACTAATGGCGCTAGGGAAAGTTATGAAGTGATTGTGGAAACACCAGTGTTGTTATTGAAAATAACAGTAGTAGTTATTTTCAGTAGGTGCATAAGGTGGTAATGACAATGTCAGTAGCAAAAGTAGTAATAGTCATTATAAAAGGATATTGATATATAAAACATATATACATATATATGTATATGCACACACACATACACATATATATATATATATATATATATATATATATATATATATATATATATATACACATACATATAAGCAAAAGAGATGAGCATAAAGGTGTCCCCATTCAGCTTCCTGAAGACAATCCGCAGATTGTGGAACAGTGTATTTGTTGATGGCTGGTCTAAGGAGTCACTTGAGAGTGCACCGATGGAAGGTGGCAATTGACTATAAAACCGGAGATGTCCAGCAATTGAAATGTGATATTTGTGGTAAGGCATGCGAGTCCAGAAGCGGTTTCATGTGACATTTTAAATTGCATGATAATGTAACACCCACTGTTGGACCTCTTAAGTGCCCTGTTTGTGCCAAACTATGTAGGTCCCTTGCTAGTCTAAAAGCCACATTCATTCAGCACATCAGTAGATTTTCTCCAAAAAAGATATGTAGTAATGACCGTACTCATACTTGAGCTGGTAACCACCATATATATATGTATATATATATATATCTGTCTATATTTCTGAGATGAGGTATTATGTACACTATTTACATTGTTCGGACTATCATCCTCATCTTAAATAAAGGGTTCATTTCAAAATCCCTGTAGATTACCTGGATAAAAATACACCTGAAAAAGGTTTGAAAGTACAATGACCAAAACATGATAACAAAAACAAAGATAAGGACTATAGTCCACATGTAAATAACTTCTCAGAAGTTCAGACAGAAAAGACCTTAAGTTTAAAGCTTCAAAATCCCACTAATTAAATGCCCTATAGAATTTGGATTAGTGAATAAAAACATTGGTCTCATTTCATGAAATTTGTGATTTTAATCTCTGATTTAAGTTGTACAGCAGGCATGAGAACATAACCCATTAGACAAGGTAAAATTTCTGTCTGACTTTTATAAAACAACAGTTGATGTGGTCATTTAATACCACCAGGTGAAACATGTTCTAAAAGACTTTGTTTAACCATTTTTATAGTTTTGAAACTACCAAATCATAATATAAGAGTTAAAATTTTCCTCCAATTTGAGGTTGATTTTGTAATATTTTAACATTCCCATTTCTTCCTTATCTGAATTTACAACATTAATTAATTTGCATAATTTGTGTTTGGTACATCATTTCCACTCAAATTATGATCTCTTTCTACAATTATCAACAACAATAGGTACTACCTCCTACTGAGTCCCCATTTCTAATGTATCTTCAAATGAGCCCAAAGAATTACTCCATCAAACCAATGCAACTGTAAATTGCATTTAGATAATTGGGTTTTACTAATACATTCCCAATGTAACATCATGACTGGATTTTGAAGCCATTCAACACGTGATACTCTTAACTTTGCACAC